TCAGATTAAGAACGTTCATGGCATGTCATGACAGAGGAATTATAATCACATGAACATCTGGCGTTCTTTAACTTCTGAGTGGTATTAAAACTCGAGGCTGGACCATCATAGATTGAAACAACGAATTGAAATCAACGCAGATATATCAAGGATATAACTGGTTGTTAAGAGGTTGTAACATATACTGTTCATGTCACACTATCTGCCATGTCACAACCCCCGTTAAACTGCTCTTTCTATGTGACACAGTGTACTGACCACCGCCACAATTGACCTTGTATTAGCACCAGCCTGACGAACGTCTGGGAATCGAACCCGATGCTGCAGAGACGGGCCCAAAACACACACACACACACGGCTGGGGTGTGTAAAAAATTGGCAACTTGTGTAAAAGCGAAATTTGACTTCAACTAAAAGTTTGTTTACATCGCTTTAAAACTGAACAAATAACAACCGAAAACATGAATGTTAGTGAATATTGTATGGGTGGACGGGTGGCAATAATCCTGCGGACTATAAACAGGAGGGACATCAGTGTTGACACGGACATTTTTTCCCCTCCGTGTTGTATGAACACACTGTGCTATTCCTACACATGCTGCTGTTCACAACACTTGTGTCCTGATTATTGCAATGTAATGTGTCTAAACGACGCTAGGAAATATGTATGTAGTCGTTGATCTGTGTGTTGCAGGTGTCTAACAACATCAACCACTGATTATAATTTGACAGCAATAACAACTGTGAGGTAACATATGGGTGTCGTTTATAGAAACAGCCTGTCCGATCTGGCTGGGTTAGTTGGTGGCCAAGACAACAACAGTTTCAGATGACAGCCTCCACTGTCCACTGCCTCCACTTTGAGAACAACAGTCGTTAAAATCTGATGGTATGGCACAATTATTTTTATCACATAAAACACTGTCATTGTATGTTGATCAGACCAAAAGATAGAGGTCAGTGAATTGAGGATAATTTATTTGACGATATACAGAACCAGATATATACACATTCACATCGGCAGCTACTCTGAAGACCATGCCAGACAGCCCCAGTGTTATTTTATCATGGTCAGTAATCTTAGATCAACACCAGCATACAGATCTGACCCTGGAACAGCCTGTATTGTGAGGTAATGTCACGTAATACTGCACCTACAACTGGTTGTTTCAGTCTCTTGGTGTGTGTCAGCTTTGTCTTCCCTTGGGGAGAATTGATCCAGTAAGGTTACTCATCCGTCTCTGGATGACAGTGGGTTAGTTGGGCATGTTCACTAGAACTAAGCCATACTGACTCCTGGAGGTCTCCTAGGAGAATGACACTGACAGCTGGTCCTCTGGGACACAACCATGTTGACAACTAGCTGGTCCTCTGGGACACAACCATGTTGACAACTAGCTTGTCCTCCAGCACATGACCGTGTTGACAACTTTCTTGTCCTCTAGAACTTGGCCATATTGACAACTTCCTGGTCAGTAAGGCAAGACTAGATTGTCCTTAAGAACTTGAACACGACACCCTCCTGGTCAGTCAGGGAAGGTCAGCTTGTTTTCTGGAACTTGGCAATAAAGAACCCTATGGTGTCTGTGTCCGGGCTGTGTGTGTCTGGTGTCAGGACACTGGGGTCGAATCTCTGGACTTTACACCGATTTCCTCCCCTCTCCCCGAGACAAGCCTGCACCTGGGAGTCCAATACCTCCAATGTGAGGGTCCTGGAACAAAGCATGATGATTACCTGGTAGGGAAAACATCATCTTGTTGACTGCTATCACTCAACTCCAACTGAAAATTTCAGATTACCTAGGTTCATGTCAGTCAGATTACCTAGGTTCATGTCAGGCTGTGTCAGATTACCTAGGTTCATGTCAGGCTGTGTAAGACTAACTAGGTTCACGTCAGTCAGATTACCTAGGTTCATGTCAGACTGTGTCAGATTAACAAGGTTCATGTCAGACTGTGTCAGATTAACTAGGTTCATGTCAGACTGTGTCAGATTAACTAGGTTCATGTCAGACTGTGTCAGATTAACAAGGTTCACGTCAGACTGTGTCAGATTAACTAGGTTCATGTCAGTCAGATTACCTAGGTTCATGTCAGTCAGATTACCTAGGTTCATGTCAGTCAGATTACCTAGGTTCATGTCAGGCTATGTCATATTAACTAGGTTCATGTCAGACTGTGTCAGATTAACTAGGTTCACGTCAGGCTGTGTCAGATTAACTAGGTTCATGTCAGACTGTGTCAGATTAACAAGGTTCATGTCAGGCCGTGTCAGATTAACTAGGTTCATGTCAGGCTGTGTCAGATTACCTAGGTTCATGTCAGACTGTGTCAGATTAACTAGGTTCATGTCAGACTGTGTCAGATTAACAAGGTTCATGTCAGGCCGTGTCAGATTACCTAGGTTCATGTCAGACTGTGTCAGATTAACTAGGTTCATGTCAGGCCGTGTCAGATTAACTAGGTTCATGTCAGACTGTGTCAGATTAACAAGGTTCATGTCAGACTGTGTCAGATTAACTAGGTTCATGTCAGACTGTGTCAGATTAACAAGGTTCACGTCAGTCAGATTACCTAGGTTCATGTCAGTCAGATTACCTAGGTTCATGTCAGGCTATGTCATATTAACTAGGTTCATGTCAGACTGTGTCAGATTACCTAGGTTCACGTCAGGCTGTGTCAGATTAACTAGGTTCATGTCAGACTGTGTCAGATTAACAAGGTTCACGTCAGTCAGATTACCTAGGTTCATGTCAGTCAGATTACCTAGGTTCATGTCAGGCTATGTCATATTAACTAGGTTCATGTCAGACTGTGTCAGATTAACTAGGTTCACGTCAGGCTGTGTCAGATTAACTAGGTTCACGTCAGACTGTGTCAGATTAACTAGGTTCATGTCAGTCAGATTAACTAGCTTCACGTCAGGCTGTGTCAGATTAACTAGGTAAGATTACCTAAGTTCATGTGAAGCTGTGTCAGATTACCTAGGTTCACGTCAGTCAGCTTACCTAGGTTCACGTCAGTCAGATTACTTAGGTTCATGTCAGTCAGATTACCTAGGTTCATGTCAGTCAGATTACCTAGGTTCACGTCAGTCAGATTAAGTACGTTCATGTCAGGCTGTGTCAGATTAACTAGGTTCATGTGAGGCTGTGTCAGATTAACTAGGTTCATGTCAGGCTGTGTCAGATTAACTAGGTTCACGTCAGTCAGATTAAGTAGGTTCACGTCAGGCTGTGTCAGATTACCTAGGTTCACGTCAGTCAGATTAAGTACGTTCATGTCAGGCTGTGTCAGATTAACTAGGTTCACGTCAGGCTGTGTCAGATTAACTAGGTTCACGTCAGGCTGTGTCAGATTAACTAGGTTCACGTCAGTCAGATTAACTAGGTTCACGTCAGGCTGTGTCAGATTATCTAGGTTCACGTCAGTCAGATTAAGTACGATCATGTCAGGCTGTGTCAGCTTACCTAGGTTCACGTCAGTCAGATTAAGTACGATCATGTCAGGCTGTGTCAGATTAACTAGGTTCACGTCAGTCAGATTAAGAACGTTCATGGCATGTCATGACAGAGGAATTATAATCACATGAACATCTGGCGTTCTTTAACTTCTGAGTGGTATTAAAACTCGAGGCTGGACCATCATAGATTGAAACAACGAATTGAAATCAACGCAGATATATCAAGGATATAACTGGTTGTTAAGAGGTTGTAACATATACTGTTCATGTCACACTATCTGCCATGTCACAACCCCCGTTAAACTGCTCTTTCTATGTGACACAGTGTACTGACCACCGCCACAATTGACCTTGTATTAGCACCAGCCTGACGAACGTCTGGGAATCGAACCCGATGCTGCAGAGACGGGCCCGAAACACACACACACGGCTGGAGTGTGTAAAAAATTGGCAACTTGTGCAAAAGCGAAATTTGACGTTTACATCGCTTTAAAACTGAACAAACAACCGAAAACATGAATGTTAGTGAATATTGTATGGGTGGACGGGTGGCAATAATCCTGCGGACTATAAACAGGAGGGACATCAGTGTTGACACGGACATTTTTTCCCCTCCGTGTTGTATGAACCAAACAACACACAAGCCATCTGTGCTATTCCTACACATACTGATGTTGAAAACACTTGTGTCCTGATTATTGCAATGTAATGTGTCTAAACGACGCTAGGAAATATGTATGTAGTCGTTGATCTGTGTGTTGCAGGTGTCTAACATCATCAACCACTGAATATAATCTGACAGCAATAACAACTGTGAGGTAACATATGGGTGTCGTTTATGGAAACAGCCTGTCCGATCTGGCTGGGTTCCTTGGCGGCCAAGACAACAACAGTTTATAATGACAGCCTCCACTGTCCACTGCCTCCACAAAATCTGATGGTATGGCACAATTATTTTTATCACATAAAACACTGTCATTGTATGTTGAACAGACCAAAAGATAGAGGTCAGTGAATTGGGATAATTTATTTGACGATATACAGAACCAGACATATACACATTCACATCGGCAGCTACTCTGAAGACCATGCCAGACAGCCCCAGTGTTATTTTATCATGGTCAGTAATCTTAGATCAACACCAGCATACAGATCTGACCCTGGAACAGCCTGTATTGTGAGGTAATGTCACGTAATACTGCACCTACAACTGGTTGTTTCAGTCTCTTGGTGTGTGTCAGCTTTGTCTTCCCTTGGGGAGGATTGATCCAGTAAGGTTGCCGATCCGTCTCTGGCTGACAGTGGGTTAGTTAGGCATGGTCACTAGAACTAAGCCATACTGACTCCTGGAGGTCTCCTAGGAGAATGACACTGACAGCTGGTCCTCTGGGACACAACCATGTTTACAACTAACTGGTCCTCTGGGACACAACCATGTTGACAACTAGCTGGTCCTCTGGGACACAACCATGTTGACAACTAGCTGGTCCTCCAGCACATGACCGTGTTGACAACTAGCTGGTCCTCTGGGACACAACCATGTTGACAACTAGCTGGTCCTCTGGGACACAACCATGTTGACAACTAGCTTGTCCTCCAGTACATAACCATGTTGACAACTAGCTGGTCCTCTGGGACACAACCATGTTGACAACTAGCTTGTCCTCCAGTACATGACCATGTTGACAACTAGCTGGTCCTCTGGGACACAACCATGTTGACAACTAGCTTGTCCTCCAGCACATGACCGTGTTGACAACTTTCTTGTCCTCTAGAACTTGGCCATATTGACAACTTCCTGGTCAGTAAGGCAAGACTAGATTGTCCTTCAGAACTTGAACAGGACACCCTCCTGGTCAGTCAGGCAAGGTCAGCTTGTTTTCTGGAACTTGGCAATAAAGAACCCTATGGTGTCTGTGTCCGGGGTCTGTGTGTCTGGTGTCAGGACACTGGGGTCGAATCTCTGGACTTTACACCGATCCCCCTCTGACAAGCCTTCACCTGGGAGTCCTATACCTCCAATGTGAGGGTCCTGGAACAAAGCATGATGATTACCTAGTAGGGAAAACATCATCTTGTTGACTGCTATCACTCAACTCCAACTGAAAATTTCAGACATTGTTTGTTCTGACACAAAGTACAATTGTTTACCTTGGGCATCTGACAGAAGATGTGTTGACAACTAATTGGTTTGTTTGTTAATGCGGACTCCGCAATATTCAAAACATATGCTGGTGAGTGAGTGAGTGAGTTTAGTTTTACACCGCACTCAGCAATATTCCAGCTTTATGGTGGCGGTCTGTAAATAATGAAGTCTGGACCAGACAATCCAGTGATCAACAGCATGAGCATCGATCTACTCAATTTCGATACGATGATGTGTGTCAACCAAATCAGCGAGTGTGACCACCTGATCCCGTTAGTCGCCTCTTATAACAAGCATGGGTTACTGAAGACCAATTCTAACCAGGATCTCTATGGGTAACACATGGTATCTTGTAAATAAGAAATAAATAAACATAGTCTGGGCCAGTCACATCAGTGATTGACATGATTAACATCGTCCAACACTTAGTCTGGCTGGGGGTAGGTCACTGCAACCTCCTGGCTGCTAAACAATGTATGAATATGAACAGTACTTACCTGTGTGAGGAGGCAAAGGTTGGGGAAGGTTTGTAGTGCCCACCCCACCTGTCCCTCGTTCTCCTCCCTCGTCACTGTACAGGTACTGAACACCAGCACCCCTCCAGGTTTCAGCAGCTCCACCGCCTGTTACACACAGAACAAGTGTTTCATTAAATCACACAAACTTTCCTTTATGTATTTTGAGCTGAGATATTTAATGGCACCAATAAATGCGTTTTTGAGTATCTGGAACAATCAGCATCTAGGTTTAGTAATTATATTTTGTTCAAATTTTGTTCAAAACGACTTTGTCCTGTGCCTCCAGTTACCCTTTATAAGTGTGACATTTTTCCCCAAGAATTTCCTCAGCATATATGGCACATTTTATCTGTACAAATGACATCAGTAACATATGAGTGAGTGAGTTTAGTTTTATGCCGCACTCAACAATATTCAAGCTATATGGTGGCGGTCTGTAAATAATCGAGTCTGGACCTGACAATCCAGTGCTCAACAGCATGAACATCGATCTATGCAACTGGGATACGATGACATGTGTCAACCAAGTCAGCGAGCCTGACCCCCCGATCCCGCTAGTCGCCTCTCATGACAAGCATGGGTTGATGAAGATCAATATTCTAACCCAGAACTTCATGGCTTAACATACGAGTGGTGAAAAGAACAAAGTCTCTATTTTGACCGCATCTGACATTAACAATGAAAGCAATGTCAATTTCTGATGTCTGTCTCTTTTAATATAGGCAGGGGTGGAGTGGGGTGGAGGGAAGAGATTGCCCAAATGCATTGTCCTTTCGACGTTTTGTAGATTGTGCATTTTCAAATAGCAATAATTTTATGTGTGCTTCATATTCTTAGGTTGAACAAATTGGTCTAAGGGGGACCACTCTACCAAGACGTTTGCATCATGTACATCACAGTCATTCTCTAACAAATACAAATAGCACTCAGTTTTATTGGGTTTATTATATTTATTTTCGTTCTAAAACAAAACATAATGGTAAGTAATATGTATAAAAGGCTACCTTGGAAAATAGTTTTCTCTGGTAGACTGAGTAAGACATGAGTTCAGAGAGTTTCATTCTGTTCCGACTGGCCGGACGCTGGCCCAGGGCACTGCATGGAGCATCCAGTAGTATACGGTCAAAACTACATGACGGGTAGGGTGGGCCGCCACTTATTGCTGGAACAAAGACGAGGAATAAAAACTAAATTTAACCCCCTTTTCCTTCATAGCACCGCAACATCCTCTTGTGGATCTGGTTTGTTTGTTTTTAATGGCGCTCTCACCAATATTCAAGCTACATAATTGTGCTTTGTAAATCAATGAGTCTGGACCACACAATCCAGTGATTGACATCATGAGCATCGACCAACTGAATTAGGATACAATGACATGTGTCAACCAAGTCAGCAAGCCTGACAACCTCATCACATTTGTCGCCTCTTGCGACAAGAATGCATTGCTGAAGACCAATTCTAACCTGTATGTCATCAGTGAGAAGAAGGCCTATTCGTGTGTGAGTCATCGAGCACATACCTGCCTGGTCATCGAGAGCCTTACGAGAGTCGCCGCTGTAGGTCTCTATGATAGTTATACCCCAATTAGCTGCATTTTTCTCAACACGAGCAAGTTTCTGTGGGGTTTTGTCCAGAGCTACAACTCTCCCCTGAAAATAGTCATTGTATCCTTCATTTACAACATCAGAAATGATGAAAGAAGTGTACTTTTAGCAATATTCTAGACACATCATCCCGGAGGGACACCAGGAATGGGCTTCACACATTGTACCCATGTGGAAAAATAGGACACATGAAATATCAACAAGGCATATATCCAGATTATGCTTGTTCCTGAGACATAAAAAAATGGACATGGTTGTCTGAACACTTAATTTATTCACTTTTTCAAGCAAAGATGTCAGAAGCCTCCATGCTAATTAGAAAGTTCCCTTGCATGACCTTCTGAAGAGGCTACCACACAACTTCACCGACTTCACGAGTCATATCGAAGTAAGAAGTATAATTTTTATGAGGTTGCTCAACATGCATATCATCTCCTTTTGACAGCCTTTAAAAAGCAGGTATTCACTTTGCTACTGAGGGAGAAAGATATTGTCCTCATTCAATTCCTCACAATGTGTGAAGCCCATTTCTGGTGTCCCCCGCCGTGATATTGCTGGAATATTGCTAAAAGGGCGTAAAACTAAACTCAGTCAGTCAGTCATTCAATTCCTAAGGAAACACTGCCACAGGAAATATTAATTTGAAAACTTCAAGGCACTATGATTTTATTTTTCATTCCATGACTTTTGACTTTGTCTGCAGCAAATAGTAAAATTTCCCAAATTTGTAAGACTGTTCTGCACCCACCTTATTCTGCATTAGTGTGGCGATATGGACGGTCTTCCCACCTGTTGACAGAAATACATGGAGCTGACCAGAATATTGTCATTACGTGAAACTGCAGTAACAAGTAAAATGAGACTCATTTCATCCTAAGTTGAAGAATATATTTGTTTATTTCCTGTTGTAAACAATCAAGTCTAGACTTGGCCAGCCAGTGACTGACGAGCACGAGTCAACACAACTCAAAAATAATCACATGAATAGACACCCAATCCTGTAAGTCGCCTCTCCCGACAATAATGGGCTGCTGAAGATCAATTCTGCAACAGGCCAAACAATTCTCTGCAAAAACATCATAAACCTACCAGGTGCTGCACACATATCCAGAATTGTCTCCCCTGGCTGGGGGTCAAGGACACGGCCACACACAATGGATGGAAGATTCTGTGGGAACACCTGAGCAGGTAGAACTTGGTCCAGAGATGGCGCCTCGAAAACTGGTTGTGTCATCCTTATACCAACACCACTGAAAACATCAACAACATATAAAGGAATAAATATACACCTGCATTTCTTACACATGAACGAGTGAATGCTATCATATACAATGGCTACAATATTTTACATTATCTCGTGGTACACAGACCTTTGATTGGAAGCATAAACAACAAACAAGACATGAATCGCCAAGTCTTCAATGAGGGACAATGTGAACACGCATGGCAGATGACATGAATGGTGTAACATGTTATATTTGGGATTACACTTTCTCGTTAAAGTACAGACAGTACTTTTGTTGGGTTCAGTCCCATCCGGGATTCGAACCCACACCCTCAGAGTCATGCACCTAATCACCAGTACACAAAGTCAGCCGCCTAACCCCCTCAGCCATCGCACTTCAGGAATGGAGCAGACAAACATATGACTCAGCCAACAGGGCGTGATCTCGGCAATGATTATCTCTGAAATACATGCCATCAACAGTGTTCAACTGACAGGAAGACCAGACACTGTGGGCAGGTAAACATGATGTGAAGTAGGCTAAATTACAAATCTTGATGTTTTACAGAATTTCTAGTCTGTCTCACAGTCCCTGCATCTCACTATTTTCCTTTCCCACCAGCCCTTCCTGCAGTGCTAAAGCCCTAAACAGAGCAAGTGTAGACTTTGTCAGGTTCAGGGGATCCTAACTAAACTCTTATTCTATCACTCATGGCACCAACATAAACATTCATTTTGACTGTCACCACTAGCACTGTAACGATGCATAAAACTATCGATGGATTGCAATTGCTGAGTGTCTGATAGCAATTAATCAATGGTAGAAACAAAAAAACTATTGATGCATCGATATTATGTGTGACTGTCGATAGTTTAGTAATTGACTTCCATTGATAAATGCGCAGCACAAAATACAGGAAGTACCAGATGTATTCACTTTGCTTTAGAGTTATCCACCCCTGTTACCTCTTTAACAAACTTGATATTTTATACTTATCCTGACTCATTTATTATTGCTTGTCTCCTTCCTTTCCTGAACGTTAGTGGAACACTTGTATCTCCTTTTTGAAGCTCCCTTCAAAAAAGCAGACGTAAAATCACTACTCACCACGAGTTGTCTCCCTCTCAGTTTTGGCGGGAAAACGGCGCCACCGTCTTCCCACTCTTCACTCTCTCCGAATTGCAAGCCCGACACTTAGATTTGCTGGGAAATCCAAAGTGCCTAGCGGGGAGGTTGGGAGGGCTTACCTCATGAGTCAGGATAAGTATAAAATATCAATTTTACTCAGAAAATTACATATTTTTCCTTATCCTGACTCATGTATTATTGCTTTTGGAATCCGACGGATTTGGTGGTGGGTCAAGCCACTTCTGGATTCCAATTTGGTGATTTACGTCTTGCATACCCCCCTATGGGAACTTCCTGGTAGCACTTCAATTTACTGCTAGGCTCTGCTGCTGCTGTAACCCTTTACTTCCAGCTTTCTCTGATGGGGGGACCACAATTGTTAACTTTTGGTCCTTGCTTCTGTTAACATTTTTATGTGGATTTTAGCAACTCCATCTCTTGATGCAAGCATCAAGTGGAGAAGCGACCCATCTTATGTACGAGTACGTCCTTACAAGTACTGGGTCTTATCACTTATGCTTGTCTGTCTTAGACGTGCATATGGACTCTAAAGCTGTAACTCTCCTGAGTGTTGGCTTTTGCAAGTCATGTGATAAAAGGGCGAGACTCTGTCTCAGCGCCTCTGTGGAACTGTCAATTGTTGTGCTACAACAAGTGGGCCGAAATGGTGAATGCCAGAGACGTCTTCAGTGGCGATGTCTCTCAGGTAGTGGTTGGCAAACACCATGTCCGATTTCCAAAAGCAGCCCTCCATTATCCTCGTGATAGAGCAGTTTCCATGTAGAGCGAGTGTTGACGTCAGAGCTCTAATTTCATGTGGATTGGAGGCTCTTGGAGGATCAAGTCCTGCTGCTTTGTAGGCCCGTAGAATGACAGTTCTCATCCATATTGATATCGTAGTGCGAGAGATCTCTGTCTGTGTCTCTGCCGATATAAGGATGAAAAGACGCTTGAATTTCTGTCTCCTGGTCCTAGACCTTTGTAGGTAGACTTTTAATGCTCTTACTGGGCACAAGGATATGTGTATCCTGTGGCCCAAGGACTGATGATAGTGCTGGGATGTGGAATTGTCTGTCCGGTTGACCTGGCAGTTGATTCTTTGCTATAAAGTCCCATCTCAGTCCCATATGCACGATGTTTCGATTTTCATCAAATCGTGTCTTTTTCAAAGTCTAGAGCATGTATTTCCGACCTCCTTGCTGCTGTTGCTAAGGCAATCAGGAACAGAGTTTTCTGTGTCAAGAACTCAAAAGATGTCCTATCTAATGGTTCATAAGCGTCACTGGTGAGATGCCGTAGAACTATGTTGAGGTCCCAAGCCGGAGCTTTAAATCTCTGTTGTTGGTCCTCCAGTTTAAAAGAGAGTAGTAAGGCCAGTAACTCTGGTACCTTAGTCAGTTTTACACTCGTCCTCATAGTGCTAACTGAGCTCAATGCCGCTAGGTATGTTGAGAGTGTTGACCCTTTTAACCGCTTCGTTTGTCTAGGTGACAAAGATAGTCCGCCACTTGAGGGTGTGTCGCTTTCATGGCTGTGAAGCCTGTTTTCAAAGCGTAGGTCTCAAAGCTTCGCCACTTGTCGTCGTACAAGTTGCGTGTTCACTTGCGTAAAGCTAAGCGTGACCGCTTTAGCTGCCCTGGCGGAATATCCTCTCTTATTCAAGCCAGCCTTGATACGGTCCATGTGTGTAGGCGGAACACCTTGGGGCTGCCGTGTGCTTGCTTTGTGTGTGGATGTACTAGCAAGTTCGTCCACTCTGGTAGTTGCAGTTGAGGCGGTCCTAGTTGTTGTATGAGAATGGGGAACCATATTCTCGCTGGCCAATAAGGCGCGATCAAAATCAGTTGCAGGTTCCCCGTCTGCATGATTTTCTGCAACACTTTCGGTATTAGAGCTGGTGGCGGGAACGCGTAAGCGTTTAGTCCTTCCCAAGAGATGCTTAGAGCATCTGTTGCCCATGCTCGTGGATCTGGTATTGGAGAGACGAATGTTACCAGTTGATTGTTGAATCTTGCTGCAAACAAGTCTTTTGGTGGCGCTCCTATCTCTTGTATGATCTGTTTGAAGATTTCTGGATGTAGCATCCATTCTGTTGGGGATGGCTGAGTTGGACGAGATAGTGCGTCTGCTATCACATTCTTGGCTCCTGGAACGTGGCATGCTTTATGTGGATGTTCAGATTGTCTGTTATGCTGAACCGATGAAAGCACAGGTTCAGAAGGTTCGCCGACCTTGTTGACCCTTGTTTGTTTATGTAGAACGCCACTGATGAGTTGTCCGTGTGAACCGTTAGATGAGCATTTTATAGAATGCTGGTCCAGTGGAGTATGGCGTTTATCACTGCTTTCATTTCTAGCATGTTGATATGCAGATCTTTCTCTTGTAACGTCCATTTCCCAGCTGACACTTCGTTGTCGAGGTGTGCTCCCCATCCTTGGAGAGATGCGTCCACATAGAGATGCGTTTTGCACTCCGGCTCTGCTAAGTAGGTGCCTCCGCAAACATTCGATCTCTGAGTCCACCATAGTAGATATGGTTTTAGTCTGTCCGGGAGTCCGAAGGGGTCCGGATCATCCAGATGTGCAATTACGAAGACCTGTAGTGGGTGTAGTTGTAATCTCCCTCTGCGCGTCATATCTTGTGCTGACGTGAGGAGACCCAACAGACTCTGCCACTGTCGGAGTGGCCATGGAGAGAGTAGAGCTTGCAATACCATCTGTTGTATCTTTAGCCAACGGTCCTCTGGTACTGTTATGCGGTTTTCTGTTGTGATGAGCCGAATTGCTAGGAACTGCAGGTCCTGTGTAGGCTCTGCCAACTTCGTAGTAATAACGGAGAGAGTAGTACTTGAGATACAATGGCTTGTATCTAGATCCAACGATCGTGAAACCCTTGCCATGTCCGTAAGGGAAACGAAGCAATGTCCGACTCTGTGACTGCCATCGTTGTGAAGTCTATATAAAGTAGACTGGCTGCCGTAACCAAAAGTCCGTCAAACGTATGTTGCTGCAATTCGCCTGATGAACTGTCTTTAATGCTGACAGGGAAGGTCTCTAACCCTGTGAAGACAGCCGAATCACGTAGTTCCCGTCTAACTGGACTGTAATTGAGGCCTTCCTCCCACGTTGAAAGGTTGTTGTCACTTGTAAACAATTCCCTGACATCTGAACTCTCATGGACCAATCAAAATGCAGCATTTTGATTCCTTTAGCTTCCCGTGATGTGACGTCACCGGTGTAGCTGAAAAAAGGTCCTTGTAGAATCTTGTGCAGTCGTTGATATCTTATCAACACTCGGTCTTGTCCGTAGCCTTCCGGAGTTATACGAGTGACCACGTGTATAGTGGGTTGCATGGTAAACGCGCGAAAGATTTCGCCGCGTAATACCAATGTAGGTAGGCTGTTTTCCTGGCTGCTGTGACTGTTACTTCAGACCTATAGATAATGCAGTCGTCCTTATAGTCGTCCAAACTTGGACGTTGGGAATATGTTGACTTTGTAACTTCATAGCCTTAGCAAGGCTGTGCTGAACCCCGCCAATGTAAATATCTGAAGATCTGTACGCTCTCCAGAGTAGCGTTGGGACATCTGCCTGATGACACTGGCTAGTGTATCAATGGACTTAATCATCATGACTTCCCTGGATTCCTTTGTAACTTCCTTGGCAACCTCGTCAATCTCCCCTGCAAAGATGGATGTTGTAGACCATGGAGCTCTGTACAGAGTCTTGCTGATATGGATGATAAATGCTCTGACATCAATTGGTGGTCCTTTTTCTGCGTTAGTAGGGCAGAATAAATCATCCGGTCTTCCTCTGCAGTAGAGTTCCTGGAGATGACCGTTTCATTAATTGCTCTGGATCTGTTAAGTCCGAAGAATATCCTTCTGGTCATAGTGTCTATCTGTGCCAGCCTTTTGTCATCAATCTTGTAAGAATTGTCCGGGTACTGTGGGATAGTCCACATCATCGTCCTTCATTTGGTACGTAAAAGCTTCATTCTCTTCCTTAGAGGGTGACGCTACGTCCAGTCCATTAGCCATCCAATATTTTATCTCTGAGTCCGAAAATATGATACCGCCATCGTCCTCTGTATCATGTCCACTGGTATAAGATCGTTGAATATCCTTGTTGGGGATCTGCGTGGCGATCTACGTGGCGATCTGTGTCGGGATGAGTATGTTGAACTACGTGTAGTTCTAAGAGGCGATCTGTATGGCAACCTGCGTGGAGGTGAGCGTCTTCTAGGCCGGGATTGCCTTCCTGGCAACGTATTCCTAAGTGGTGAATCCCGTGACGACTTGCGACCTTGAAGATAATTCAGATGACCTTCGCGCAGGTGAGAGGTTTTGTTGAGGGTCTGAGTCCCGAGACGTCTCTCTAAACCTTCTAGGAGGTGTAGGTTTCTTCCTCTGTGAAGTGGGTAGCCTGCGTGAAGGTTCTTCATTAGCCTCATCATCTGATGACGATCTATTTGGTTCTGAAGAGCGTGCCGTCCTTCGCGCAGGTTTGCTGACGTCATGTAGTGTAGATCTGCTCTTAGTCCTAGAGCTAGATCCTCTGGTAGGCCTCTCAGATGTATCATCAGTGTGGGGTCCTTCGTGCAGCACTGGATCCTCTCTGAGGTTGATGACTTGAGCATGAGAGCCGCCTGGCTGTCCATCATGTGAGGTTCTTTCCTGCGCGAAGCGCTTCTCCATCATTTCCATCATTTGTTGAGAGAATTGCTGCATAAAGGCCCCGGGGTTGAATGTCTGCGACGATTGTAGTGATGTCGTATCTGAGATGATAGCGATATGGTCCAGGGATCGCTGTGCCTCATGGATCTCTGCTGTCAGTGTAGAAGGTAACTCGGACTGCGTAGAAAGGGCTGCTGACGTTACCGTTGCTGAGGCCTGCTTCCTGGGATGATCAACAACGGCTCATCATATAAGCCGAAAAAGTCCTCGTAGTCTGTGAAGAACTCCCCGTAGAGCTGGTTGAAGCCTTAGGGGTGTAAGGCTTCTTCTGCGACGAAGATGGCCTCTTTTTCTTCACATGGGTTGAGGAGTTGTCCGACGTAAAAGACCTTTTCTTCGACGTAATGGCGGACCTCATCCCACGCCCATCTTCTGAGGACGCCTCCGGCAGGTCACTGGATGGAAGTATGTCGTCTGACAACGATAGACAGCTCTTAAGGGACTCAGCCGGTTTAGCCATGACTTGCAAAAGTCGTCTGGATTTATCCTTAGCACGCCTAAGTACAGAGAAATAATAATTATTAAATTCAATTTTTGTTAATTGCTGACATAATTTACAGCGAGAGCTGGAAGTACATATTGTTGTGCAACTGGAGCACAATAAATGCGGGTCTGCAGCAGATAACCTAAACCTACAATGAAAACAGGTTTTCATGAAATGTAAACAAACTGAACAATCACGTAAAACCGTGAATTAACAGTCAAATTACTAATAAGTTTCAAACCATATTGTAGAAGGATACTCCCTGAAACCTTATAAAGGTAACTTATAGGGAAATAACTAAGTTATCAAAGGATATAGTGCCGTGTTGGAGACACAGGTGCTCTCCCAACCATCCACTAGGGCGAAGAAGGAAAGAGTGAAGAGTGGGAAGACGGGTGGCGCCGTTTTCCCACCAAAACCGAGAGGGAGACAACTTGTGGTGAGTAGTGATTTTACGTCTGCTTTTTTGAAGGGAGCTTCAAAAAGGAGATACAAGTGTTCCACTAACGTTCAGGAAAGGAAGGAGACAAGCAATAATACATGAGTCAGGATAAGGAAAAATTATCATTATCACATTAGTAGTATTACAACAGAATATCGTTATCACATTAGTAGTATTGCAACAGAATATCGTTATCACATTAGTAGTATTGCAACAGAATATCGTTATCACATTAGTAGTATTGCAACAGAATATCGTTATCACATTAGTAGTATTACAACAGAATATCGTTATCACATTAGTAGTATTGCAACAGAATATCGTTATCACATTAGTAGTATTGCAACAGAATATCGTTATCACATTAGTAGTATTGCAACAGAATATCGTTATCACATTAGTAGTATTGCAACAGAATATCGTTATCACATTAGTAGTATTACAACAGAATATCGTTATCACATTAGTCGTATTGCAACAGAATATCGTTATCACATTAGTAGTATTGCAACAGAATATCGTTATCACATTAGTAGTATTACAACAGAATATCGTTATCACATTAGTAGTATTGCAACAGAATATCGTTATCACATTAGTAGTATTACAACAGAATATCGTTATCACATTAGTAGTAGTGCAACAGAATATCGTTATCACATTAGTAGTATTGCAACAGAATATCGTTATCACATTAGTAGTATTGCAACAGAATATCGTTATCACATTAGTAGTATTGCAACAGAATATCGTTATCACATTAGTAGTATTACAACAGAATATCGTTATCACATTAGTAGTATTGCAACAGAATATCGTTATCACATTAGTAGTATTACAACAGAATATCGTTATCACATTAGTAGTATTGCAACAGAATATCGTTATCACATTAGTAGTATTACAACAGAATATCGTTATCACATTAGTAGTATTGCAACAGAATATCGTTATCACATTAGTAGTATTACAACAGAATATCGTTATCACATTAGTAGTATTGCAACAGAATATCGTTATCGCAATAGTTGTTTTCCCCTCAGGAGTCTCCTAGTCACTACACTTTAGGATGTGAATTTGGTATACAATGAATGTTCACATGCTTCTTCTCCTCCTCCTCATCATCATTACCTTAGTCCCTCTGAGCTGCAGAAGATTTCATCCCTTCCTACATGGGCGACTCCATTACCCACGAACATCTTGTGACCTGTGAACTTCTGCGTGAGACCTTTACGACACTCTCCGTTCAGGTCAGCGTATACCGACACCTGGTCACCGGTGTGCACACCTGGAGATAATTATAACATACTTATCATAGCTTGAACAGTATTTGAGTGACAGTTATCATACCATGTAATTCTGTCCCTAAAGTGTGTATGGGAAAGTGCCTCTGTCATCCATGCAGGTGCTGACCTACTTGTGGGAGCCGCCATGATGCCCTGGACGAAGACGTTGGCTCCACGCAACACCGCCATGCCACATGCCAGGTCCACAACCACTTCCTTGTCACACTGAAACATCAATCACATGGAAGTCATCCTCGATAATCTCCAGGGTATATGTTACAATATAGGGGTGTCACGATACACCAATCTCACGATGACGATACATATCACGATTTTAAGGTCACGATACGATACGTATCGCGATACATAATTTTCGCGCCTTTTCATAGCATTACCTTACCGGCAACGTACGCGCTCGCTGATTGGTCCATCAAAATAGTCTAGCCAATCACAAAAGCTGTTAGTTTCCAACCTATTTTTTAAGTTAAGCTAGCTACATCTATTTATCGGAGCGGTCTCGTATAATTTTACTATCAAGACTTTGAAGGAGATGGATATAGCATAAAAATTTGAATCGATAAAGTTTTAAAATAGGAATCGATACATGCAAGCATGTATCGCGTATCGTATCGTCACTAAAAATGTATCGATGCATCCATACATTTGCGTATCGCGACACCCCTATTACAATAACTCTCAACTATACCCTGGATGCATCCACGGCTTGGGGCGATGATTTTATTACCTCCCTTGGCCGGCTCCGCATTCTCACAGTAGCCAATCAGCTAAGCCGCCGTTACAACCGAGCTTGCCAGTGTCAACAAAGATAGCGGTCGCAGTCGCGAAGGTTTGTTCGCAGTGCCACTCAGATTTTTGAGGAAATAATAAAGACAAATTCACAGATCTGAAACTTTAAAAAAATATATGAAAGAACTCCTTCTATTTCTTTCAGAGTACCTCTGCATCAATTGTGTTGCCCAGTTTAAACGGTTAGATAATTTAAGAAGCGAAAGTGAGTAGTGATTGGTACAGTCAACTTCCCAGCGTAGGCACCTGATTGGATAAAAAGCTAGCCAAGGGAGGTAATAAAATCATCGCCCTAAGCCGTGGATGCATCCAGGGTATAGTGGAGAGTTACCATAACATATAGCCTGGAGATTATCGAGGATGCATGGAAGTCAATACTCAGCAATAGTCAAACTATAAAACAGCGGGATGAACATAATACTGTGTGACTTGGTTACCATGGCACAGTTGAACATGCTTACGTGTGGTACTGACCTACAGACAACTTGTTTCATGAAATCTGAGTGCCAGGCAAGGTAACAATTAGCACCATCATTTGGTATTACTTGACCAGCAGATTGAACCATTCTGCATGAGTCCAGCATTCATTACAGCAGGTGACTCTACCATGTATTTCAGTTACATTGACGTGGAGAGAAGAAAGCCTCAAGTGATGCTAGTCTTCAGTGTTCTGAGTTCTGAGTGAGTGAGTGAGTTTAATTTTACGCCGCTATTAGCAATATTCCAGCAATATCACGGCAGGGGACATCAGAAATGGGCTTCACACATTGTACCCATGTGAGGAATCGAACCCGGGTCTTCGGCATGACGAGCCAAAGCTTTAACCACTAGGCTACCACAGTTCAGATGTGTATTATGTGGTCAACATTAAGCATATTTGGGTGGGTAGGGTGAGGTGGGGTGGGGGGAAACATATGTTGTTTCCTTATTTATTAACGATCAAATCTCACCAGTTTGATATCCAACTTGGGTCCTCTGTTTGTGATGACCATACAGTCCTTGACTGCAGGATGAGGGGACATTTCAAAAGGTTCCACATCTCTCACGATGCATTGCTGAAAAACACAATTTAAATATGAAATGAACTGCGTTTCACTGTTATGTTTTGCTTTACCCCACACTCAGCAATAATCCAGCATATGACAGCAGCATGTAACTACGTTTGGACCAAACCATCTGGTGAATGACTTTATCAGCAAGTGTCCTTGACTTTAAGGTACAATGATCCACAATCAATCATGTTAGTGAGTCTGACAACCTTGTCAATCAGGTCAACTGTTTCAACAAGCACTGGCTGCTGGAGAAATATTCCTAGTTGGAATCTACACAAGGTTTTACTGCTAAAGTGTTGATTCTTGACTTGTTAACTCAGAAAATATTTGCTTTCATTTGTTATACAAGGTTATATTCTGCCTAAGAAAACTTTGGAAAAGATAGGTTGTCATTAGGACCCACATACTTTCAACGCTAATGGCTAAAATCTTCTGGCCCTCACTTCAGAAACTGTACCTTGTGATGAATAAATTGACAACTATAATATATTGCAAATTCAAAAACTATCTGCAGCAGATTTTGGATGACAATCAATCAGTCCAGGAAAATGAACCAATCTGAAACCGTGCCTCTGCTAGAGTGTCCCGAAGGGCCTCCAGAACACTCTCTGTGGGTTGACTGCATGTGTTTATCCTCAGTGTTGTGTATCCAGGTGGGAGACCCAGCCACTTCAGCAGGTTGGAGAGTCGACTGTCTGTACTTCCTTCTGGGGCATTCCCCTCCTGAAACAGTGAGTGAGTGCGTGAACATGTGAGTGCGTGAACATGTGAGTGTGTGAGTATGTGAGTGAGTGAATGAATGAGAGTGATGAGTAGTAGTAGAGGGGGGATTTTGCCGCAGATGTGGCTTAGAGGCTTATTTTTATGAAATAAGTTCCCTAGCCCCCCTTAAAAACGGCGATGGTCTAGCGAGAGGCATCCTTCGATGTGCCGCCAGCCTAGACCCAAAGTTTCGAATATTGACTGATCGGGAATCCACGTGCTGTGATGGTAGAGTGTAGGACTCATAATTCAGTGACGAGTTTGGATACTCGAGATTGGATTGTATCCGGCCATGGACGAAGTTGCTCAAACGCTTGAAACCGTGGATGGATTTCGCTTGCGACAGATCGGCGAAATCAAACGCCAATACAAAAAATACCATCGAGCCATCACTGCCATCGATGGCGTAGACGCATCTCTCGTAGCAGCTAGCATGGGATTAGGCGTGGCAGGCGTCGGCTTATTATCCACCATCATGGCCGCACCCGTCGTCCTCGGGTTAGAAATAACCGTCAGGGTATCGGGGCTGGCGGGAGTAGCCCTTAAATTCATTTCACGTCGTCTGCAACGGAAAGCGCTGAAGCATGACGAGATCAGGGTTCTGGCCGAAGCCAAGTTAACACTAACGACGATCATATTTCCACCACGATCACCGATAGCAAAATCTCCGAGGAAGAGTTTCGTTTGCTGATGTCGGAAATCGCAAAATACCACCGAATGAAAAAAGAGATTTGAACCAAGACTCGGAAACCCGCTGGCATCAGCGAAGACGAGAAAAAAAAGCCACACAGGGCTGCTGTCGCTTGGTTAAAGCCACCATCTTGTTTAACTTGGCAACACATTCAAGTCACAGTCAAAACCAATTCCCTACCTACATGCAAACATACATCAAGTATACTTTTAAAATAAAGGTAACAAGTCTAGGCTGGAGGCACATCGAAGGATGCCTCTCGATATTTTTTAAGGGGGCTGGGAGGCTTAATTCCCACAAATAAGCCTCTAAGCCCCATCTGCGGCAATCACCCCCTCTACTACTACTTGATGAGATCACAGAAAATTGAGTGATTGACATCAAGAACATCAATCTACATAAATGCAGTGTATGAAATAAGGCCCGTCAGACCGACCGAGATGGGCTAGATTTCTGACGGACGGTCTAAATTTACAGCTAGCCAGTCCCATGGTCTGGTAAAAAAAAATATGTTCCATACATCTGAGTAAATTCACAATATCTTGGTGTCTGGTCTGCTTAAATGCATTTTGGGCTGGTAACATTTTGAAGTTACCAGCCCTGATGTCTGGCTGGGCTTTTGTCCTATTTCATACACTGATAAATGAGTGTAACATTTATCATTAGGGTGAGTATGAAGATATCATCATCCCCGTTTTTATATTGATAAACTGGTATAGGTCCGTCTCCTATTCTCGCCTTCCTACATTCAAAGCATTATTTAGAACAGTCTCAAAGAGTTACTCCACAAAGCGATACCATCGTATCTCCGCTGGGCCCCTCCGCTGTTTCAACACATACTTCTGATAGTGGTAAGGCAATGATTCCTTTCCTGAAGCGATGCAAGTCCTTCACACTCAAAATCTGAGTGATCGAAAATAGAACGAAGGAAGATGCAATACGTGATGCGTCATTGTAATTGACAGTTTACCTTAAGGGAAACTTCAAACGTTGCTTTGACCACATTTTCAACGTCCGTGTTGAGTCTGAGTGGCAGCAATTCCATCACAACTTCATTCGCCGAGAACAACTATTTGTAAATAAATACACGTAACAACCAACGTGCTTCCGGCTCCAACAAACGCAAGCTCCTCAACAGCGCCTCAAGCTCAACTGACTTGTACACGTCACTCTTAGAACGTTGCGAGGAGCCTGGCTTGTAAACTGGTTGCCGGACACTTTTGCGCGTTGTCAACTTGCGCAAATATAACAATAATAGAGACGGGGTCCAACTTATCAGGTTCGCCAGATTTGTCGTGGCAATGCAACCACAAACTTTACGAATCCCAACAGAGTGAGTGATGGTAGTTCTCATCACTGTTCTCACTATATAAGCCAAACAGTTGGATGGGGAAACTTGTCTGCCCAATAGACAGATGGTATTTGTGTTCCAACACCGAACTGATAAATGATACCCATTATCTGTATGAATACACAATGCCATTTAGAAAATGGTCAAATGTAACATGTTATATTTGGGATTACACTTTCTTAGTAAAGTACAGATTCTAGTAGTTTTGTTGGGTTAAGTCCCATGCGGGACTAAGAAAGTGTAAACCTAAATATAACATGTTACATTTGACCACTTTCTAAATGGCATTGTGTATTCATAGCTTTCGGCCAGGGGAGCCAATTTACACTTATCAGAGGGGGACACAAAGTCCGCAGTGTAGACTACCTGTTGTCCAGCTTTGGGTGCTGGCGATAAGGTGCCTGACTCAGGGTGTCGGTTCGAATCCCAGATGGGACTCAACCTAACAAAAGTACTAGAATCTGTACTTTAGTAAGAAAGCGTTGTTGACCCAGGTCCTACTGTGCGGTGATGATTCCAAAGGGGCAGTCGGAAACTGACCCCACAGCCTATGTCTTCATCACGTAAGGGACCGTTCATAACTAATGGCTAGGGGGGATGATGATGATTTGTATGGGGAAGCATGTACAGTTTGAATAACCGCCCCCAAAAAAAAAAGAGAAGAAGAAAAGAATATGTACAAAGTAGATGCCTCCCCACCCCCAACCCCGCATGTCATGTACAAAATCACCCCCTAGTACATGTGTATAAAATTGATGAGGCCCCTCCCTCCACCACCCCTCCCCTCCACACACCATTTTTAAAAGCAACATCATCATCCACCCACACACACACCCCACCCCAAGCCATAAATTATAAACGGTCCAAATCGTTGGTATCTTTGCCACCTCAGGTGTCGTATAAAATACCTGCAGCCGGAATTCTTGCACCTGAGGAAGAGGAAGAATGGGAAGTCGATCTGCCTACTCTTCGTATCCAGCTACACCTGATCATCTGCCTTGTACTGGACAGCTAAATAGACGCGGCCCCGAATCCTTCCTCCATTAGGGACCGTTCATAATTTATGGCTGGGGTGGTGGTGATGATTTTGGTGGGTTGGGGGTGGGGTGGGTGGGTGTGTGTCCCATTTTGTTCTGGCGAGCTGGGCTGGGGGTGGGGGGGTGTGTGTCACCCATTTTGTTCTGGCGAGCTAGGGGGTCATCAATTTTGTACACACGTACTAGGGGGTCATCAATTTTGTACATAAATTATGGTAGGGGAAGGGGGTCATTGATTTTGTACATGACATGCAGGGGGGTGTCACTTGTTTTGTAGATAAATTTTAGGGGGGGTCATTCACATTGTACAAGCTTCTCCATAAAAATCATCATCACCCCCTAGCCATAACCTATGAACGGTCCCTTAGCTGGGATCTAGTGGAAGAATCATATGGCAATTCATTTTGTTGTGATACTGACGGAATAGCGCTGCGAGTGGCATAAAGCGATACTCACCCTCTCCATAGTCACTGAAGCGGCCGTAAAATATCTTAAAAGGAAACAATGTCTCCTGTTCTCATCGCTAACTGACTTAATTTAATTAAAACTGACTGACTGAGTTTAGTTTTACGCCGCATTTAGCATTATTCCACCAATATCACGGCGGGGGACACCAGAAATGGGCTTAATTTAATTAAGAAATGAAGTCAATACGTCTTCACAACTGTGCTTGTTGCTCTTCCGATGTAGACGTACATAACACACAGTACAGTTCACTGCGCGGAATCGCGTCACTCAGGCTGAACTGGTCGTGATACGTATCTCACGGACGTTTCAATAGACAGAAATATAACCAAGCCAAAATGAGAAAACAGAATGGTAAAATCTACAGCGGCAGGGGAAAATTGGGGAAGAAAACGTTTTAATACATTCTCGGCGGAATGAATATTCAAGGCGAGCGCGAGATGGGAAACACAGAACAACTGACTGCCAGACTGTTCACAGGGTGACCTCCCAAAAGTTAGACGTCCCAAAAGTTAGACGCGTTAAAACAACAAAGGTTATGGTTGATTGCACCGAGGTTCACTACACTGTTACCTTTGTTATTAATGGACTACTCCAAATATACTAATCCAAACACAAAGAGAAGCTGGATAATGACAATGTTACTTTACAACCAACCTATGTTTAAAAACATAATTATTAAGTGAATAATGATGAACATAATAAAAGGTTAAAAAATGAGTTAAAGTTAAAAGAACATATATACATATTTATAACAATTTTAAAATGGTAACAAGTGGCATTATTGTATTATTGTTTTTGTTTCTAGATTGTTTGATATAATTTTGTATGAATAAGATATTTAATGATTGTTTTAATTAATTTGGGGTTTGTTAGAATGTTGAGATCAGAAGAGTTGGCATTATTGAGGTACTGATTTAAAGCATTGGTAAATGGGGTTCTTTGTTTATTATGTTTTGAGCAGTTAAAGATAGTGTGGGCTATTGTTTCAGGAATTTGGCAAGTGATACATTTGCCGTTTGGATGAAGGTTGATTTTGTGTAGATAGTGTTGAATTTGGTAGAGTGGATAATGTTTTCCTATTATTTGCCAGTTATAATTGAATGTTAACCCTACACCCTGTACTTCTTTCTATATTTTATATTGTTTATGCTGGAACAACAATGCTAGGAAGGAAGTACTAGTAACTCCTTTAGGTTGATGGAAACTCAACAACATAAAAAAATGTATAATCATGTTTTGATCAAAGTGAACATTGTAAAAACAAACATGCAAAATATATAATCTTGTTTTGATCAAAGGGAAGGTTGTGAAAACAAGTATGCAAAATATATAATCCTGTTATGATAAAACTGAACATTGTGAAAACACATTTGCAGAACCCAGTCAACATTAATATTCTGATCAAAGTATTTCTGTACAAACGTGAAAACCATCTCGTTAGTGTATGGGGCAGGTTCATTATATGAGTGGGTAAGACTAGGTTGTAATCACAATCACGCCTGATTGATTTGTCTGACTTTTGGGAGTAAACCGTTCACAGTCATGGTGAAAACGCCGAGACGCCAAGACTTTCTATAGTCGTCACGGTTTTATGGTTCCGACACAACCTGTATCCCACAACTTGCAAATGTCACAGTGACATTTCTTACACAACCATAGTTGTCATGGTGACAAAACTGAAACACCTGTTAACACCTTAGATAATGTTAACAGTTGCCATGGTGACAAAGCATTGGTGGGTTCTGTTCCAGATTGAATCTATTTGTGTCTCAAGACATATACGCAATCATATTGGCTGAAAGTACGTGGACATGGTTCGAGAAACAAAAAAACTCAGTTGCAAAACACACATAAAGGTTAGTCCGGCGGATTATTTATATTATTGATGTTTATAAATTATTACAAGAAAAAGCCATCTTGTTACTTTATCTTGGCACACACAGACGCACGCAAACACGTACGACCGACGTATGACCTTCCTCCCGTTGCTATAACACAATAAGTTAGTTGGCTTGACTGTTTGGAACGCTATTCCAGGCACACCACAGACCTGTGAACGGAAAGCCCGGAGTGAGACAGACATAAGATTTACAACTTTCATGAAAACGAGCCCATGTATGGGGCTGCTAAACCCAAGATCACATTCACGGATTCAAACCAACGTTCAGCGCATCCTGGAACGACTACGGGACGCAACTCTGCAGGGCGAATTGTGGTGCTTGTGAAGACTGGGCAACCGTCACGGAACCAAAAGCCAGATAGTACACCATTTGATAGGCGTAAATACACTACTAATATATGCTATGGCGGGATTTGCGTACATTTCCCGACATTTTCTGAGTTTGAGGGCTTTTATCATATGAAACTGCACCTTTTAAAACATATGCACAAGCACCTTTCATGTGTGCTATGATCGGATTTGCGGACATTTCTAAGTATGAATTCAAAAGTATTAAAGTTCAACCCAACTTTCGCTATTTTGAAACTTCATATGTACACAGCAAATAAGTTACAGATTTGCCTAGTGCAGTCGCTTTCAAAATGTTCTACAGGCACTATACTACAACAAATCAGAATCAGTCGTTTAACAATCAGTTTTCGTAGGGAGTCTTCAGTGCAGATTACATCATCTGACAGCGGTGATTGGATGATTTTGTGAAAGATTTTGTGTTTTGTTTTTAATGTATGTCCATCCAGTAATTAAAACTGACCGTGTTTCACAATAGTTAATAGTATACACAATCAGAAGAAAAGGTCTCCTCAATAGGAATATAAGTCTTGGAGTTAAACATTGATATAAAAAATAGAACAAATGGACTCACATAACCCCAATCCTCCAGAGTCTGCATTGGCTGCCGGTTGAAGCAAGAATTCATTTCAAGATCTGCACTCTTGTTTTCCGCTGCAAACACGGCCTAGCTCCTCCATACCTCTCTGAGATGTTGTCAACATATATGCCTGCCCGTTCTCTCCGCTCTCAGAATCAACATCTTCTCTCAGTTCCCCAAGTTCGTCTCAAACACTTTGGCCATAGGTCATTCAAATTTGCAGCACCAACCCTATGGAACAGTCTTCCTACTCCCATAAAAAATGCTTCATCCCTAGAAGCATTCAAATCGGGACTCAAAACCTTCCTCTTCAAAAAAGTCTACAACCTATAACTGTAAAATACTCTCACGGTTATTTTTGGCTAATTGTCATATCTTCTTCTTGAACTCTAGTGACTCTTTTTATATGTAGCGCTTTGAGCATGCTCTGGATGGACTATGGCGCATAAGAAATATCCATTTATTATTATTATTATTATTATATGACTATTGCGTACA